GTAAAAGTAAAAGGTCTGACAATTTGCAGTATGGCACTATTTTGCATCCTGGCAAGCAAAATTTTATAGCGATGGCAGGGCTCGAAATACTGGGTGCATGTGTACCTTAGTGCACCCAAAATTGGAGTTGTGCACCAAATTTTTCTCTGAGGGTCCACTGGTGCACCCAAATATTTTTGAACGAATTTTTAACATTAGAAATGTATAATAGTATACCGGATATTCTTTGGTCTCTGAGTATCAGAAAAATCATAAAATCTTTGTTGTAGTAGTGTTTAAGATTTTGAAGTGAACTCTCATTTTACATGTAGATTCCAGCTCAGAAGAGGAGCAGTAAGACCTGCAATTAGGTTTTGTTTCATATGGTGCACCCAAAAAAAATTTTGTGCACCTAATCCCAAAAATGAATTTCAAGCCCTGGATGGTCACCCAAAAACAGACTTACTCCTGCCTCATCAATGATACATCTCTGAATCAGCAGACTGCCAATACTGAGCTGACCTCCCTATCAAAGGGATGAATCATGATCATGTGACCACGCCACATCTGTGAGCTGTGATGAGAATGAGTCATCTGACTGGGGACCGTCCACAAATGATGGAGGGGGGAGGAGCTGCTATAAACGCTTTCATAACACCCAAGGCTCTACTAGTGCAGTCATACCCGCCCAAGAAAACCACACAAGGGACCAATGAAACCTGATCTATATGAACAAGTGGTTACTATGCTTCTGTTGATGAGAAAAAATTTCGAAGGGACCATCCACGAATGCTTGTGTAAGGGGGGGGCAGTCCAGCACGTCGGCAGAACGTACTGCGCCTGCGCATAACCCTACATTTTCGCGTTTTTCGTTGGATTTTTGGTCAACGTTGCATCAGAATTTTGACTGTTGCAGAAGATATCTTTTCCGACACACCATTTGGAAACTATTGTCGAAATGCTGACCTTATATGAGCAAATACAACCTTATATGAGACATTCTGCCAAAGTGCTATGCACAATACATTATGGGTTTCGCGCAGGTGCAGTACGTTCTGCCGACGTGCTGGGCAGTCCTATGTTTGGAAACACCAATGTTCTGACATAGGCCTGTCAGAACATATGGAAATCAGAACATAGGATTGTAACTGTTTACTCACAGCCAGGGCTCTACTACTAGTACTAGTACTGTGCCTAGAACTTTTAGAGTTAGGTGATGCCATAGGTTTTTGGAAGGATGGAAAGCAACCAAAAGAAGGATATCTTGAAGGAAAGATATGTTGAATATCATTGCTTAAAGATCCAAGATGGTATTATTGCAGCTCTGTGAGACTCAGCCAAAAACAAGGAAATTTTGATGAATTTAAGCAAAATTAGCTAAATATGACAATATAGTGTTAAGATCATAACAAGTTCGTGCTGCACCATTATGCTTAGGGAGAGCTCTGAAGATGTACGATTTTACCCGCTTAAGGCCACACTAATTTAATTTGTCAGTTCATGGATTCACCCACTTCATTTTTTCTTGATTTGCAAATAAAAAAAAAACATTTCAGTCTCAGAATCAACTCCCAAATGCTCATATTTTGTACCCAACAGTTGAAGAAAGTCCCTAAGACTCTTCAGAGTTGTTACAGTTTTTTTCCGTCTATCAATGCAGTGGTTTGATTAAGAGTTTGAAATTCATTGTTTGAATTACAAACCAGCCTGGTAATATTGTTGACTTCATGGCTCCTATCATTTGGGGGCTATCATAGGATGCCTAGGCCTGGTTTTATTTTTAATTTTTTTCGCCCTGTCGCTTCATATTTTTTTATGAAAAAATCCGAGAACCAACAAATCAAATTGGTGTGGCCTTATGTTAGTGTAAATGTAATACAAGTACAAGTACAAGTACAAGTAACATGAGAGCCTTCAGATGAGGACAACCTTCCTAGATCTTCAGAGCCAGCCATCATCACAAGTAACAAAGGCAGTTCTGAATAACGAACATTTGACTTCACTGAAAAAATTTTACTATTTTTTCTGAAAAAATTCGAGAACCAAGAAATCAAATTTGTGTGGCCTTAAGCAGCAGTGAGTGGCACACGGCACGTCATCCTATCATCTCTGATCGGATGTACCTTATCAGGTCTTCATCCATGGCTTTCAGAAATGAAGGTTACATGCTTGATGGTCGTTGAAAGGACAAGGTCATCCTGGAATAGAACATTCCAGAACTGCAATACAGAAGGCGTTAATAAAACAGGTCATTTAAGGTTGACTGTTTCAGTGTTGACGAAAATAAATTTCTAATGACGAGAACTAATTTCTGACTAAATTGAAATTTGGAAGCACACAGAAATGCCGTAGAACTTTAAGTGCACGTAAAACTTTAAAATTTCTTTGCATACGGGCTGCGGATTCACCTCTTGTACAAGCCAGTACGGGCAACATATTTGCCCTGTACGTACCGGTACATACCATACATAAGCAGCACATGTAAGTATGCCCTGAATACGGTAAAGTGGCAAACGCTCAGAGATCATACGTTGTTATCACTCGTGCAACGAACAATGCACGCAACCGCTCATGGCCAGGCGTGACGTGCAGACCACATACGTACACCTTTCACAATCATGTCCACTACACAAAAACGTAGTGGACGTGGCCTCAAAAAAAAATATGTATGAACAAAAAACATGTACGGCGGGTTGTGCCCCTCACTTAAAGGGATATCAAGAACTTATGAAACTGTCCCCAACCTCCTGTTTACGGTCTGTCTTTTCAATCCAAAGCCCCTGGGAGAGAATTTTAAGCAATACCTTTGATAGCACCGCCATTAAAAGATGCCACAAATGTCAGATCCTGATTTTTACCCTCAAAAGAAAAAAAGCTAGTATTATGATTGTTTTAGCCATGGTCAGTTGGTATCATTGCCTGTGATTGTGTAAACAAGGTAACCATATACAATATCAGGGGTCGAAATACCCTTCTGTGTGCAAGTTGGTGCAGGTAAAATTGGTGCCGTGCAACTAATTTTTTTACCAGTGTGCACCGGTTTATCCATTACTACACTGACTCACTGCTCATAGAAATACCAAATAAGGAACTGAAAGGGTAACAAAATCAGAATCCAGGGAGTTTTTCTTCATTTTTTTATGATTAATAGAAGGTTACTATCTAGTCCCCACAACTGTGTAAGTAAATATTGGATACTACATGCATTATAGTTGTATTATGTACTTTTGGTTTTGTACCTATTATTTTTGGGGGGTGCAACTATTTTTTTTTTGGTGCAAGTGAATTTTTGCTGATCATAAATTACAATTTGTCCATTTCAGCATTGTACAATATATTCTGTACAGGAAGACATTTTTAGCTTTTGCACTGGGCTGTTTTAGTTTTAAGAATTCCTAACATTTGATAAATTATGTTATGTGTGGTGTAATGTCATTCGTATACATAACTTGTATTCAAGTTGTGCTGATGTTGTTACATAATGTTATATGATGTTTTCCCCCTGACAATTGGAATAATATGGGGTGCTAATTTTTTTATAAATGCAAGATAAAAGTGATAGTAATAATGTCCAACTCACAAGACTTTCCACTACAGTGAAATACATACCACATGTTGACTGCAGTATCTGTGTATTGTTTGTGAACTATTGTGTACACCTCTGCATGGATGTGCTCACCAACATGTGTCAATCACTTAAAGGGCTGTGTACCGGTACACTGTACCAGTACTGTACCTGTACACTGTACCAGTACTGTACCTGTACACTGTACCAGTACTGTACCTGTACACTGTACCAGTACTGTACCTGTACACTGTACCAGTACTGTGCCAGTACACTGTACCAGTACTGTACCTGTACACTGTACCAGTACTGTACCTGTACACTGTACCAGTACTGTACCTGTACACTGTACCAGTACTGTACCTGTACACTGTACCAGTACTATACCAGTACACTGTACCAGTACTGTACCAGTACACTGTACCAGTACTGTACCAGTACACTGTACCAGTACTGTACCTGTACCAGTACTGTACCAGTACACTGTACCAGTACTGTACCAGTACACTGTACCAGTACTGTACCAGTACACTGTACCAGTACTGTACCAGTACACTGTACCAGTACTGTACCAGTACACTGTACCAGTACTGTACCAGTACTGTACCAGTACTGTACCAGTACACTGTACCAGTACTATACCAGTACACTGTACCAGTACTGTACCAGTACACTGTACCAGTACTGTACCTGTACACTGTACCAGTACTGTACCAGTACACTGTACCAGTACTGTACCAGTAAAATTGTTTAGGGTCATGTTCAGACTGGAATGGCAAGAGTACATTTTGTACCGTTTCTGAACAGAACTAACTCTAGTCCTACACTGGATTTCCCCTTTTTTTGTCTGAAAATATATGAATGCCAATTCTCAAAGATTGCAATTTTGACAATTTCACACTTGAAATTTAGGAAAACTTCTGTCGTTGAGATTAAGACCTGATTTAAAGATGACATCTCACCACTCAAAAGGCAGTTGGCTAATATTGCACAATGATTAGCCAAACTTGTTTAGGTACAGATAAAGGTCTGGGCCTGTACCTTACCTGTACTTGTACTTGTACTTGTACCTATACCTGTATCTGTACTGTACCTGTACCTGTACTTTTACCTGTACTTGTACAATGTACAATATACTTGTACCTTTACCTGTACTTGTACTTGTACATGTACCTGTACTTGAATCTGTACTTGTACTTGTACTTGTACATGTACCTATACTTGTACTTGTACATGTACCTATACCTGTACTTGTAAAGTTGTACCTGTACTTGTACTTGTACCAGTCCTGTACTTGTATCTGCAGGTGTACTTGTACCTGTACCTATACCTGCACTGTAGTTTTCAGGTACACAGCCCTAATCACTTGTGTGTTCTCTTTGCTGTTGTTGTGCACTCTCATTCATTCGTCTGTTCACACTGTCCCTCCTTCATTCCATTGCTGCCTGGACCCCAGGCCCGACCAAGAACAAGAGAATTCTGGGTAAGAACCTCTCCCTTCCTCTGTAGAACTTGTAGTGACCTTGATAGTCAAATTTTGACCTTGAAATTTACACTGCTGCTAACCAAAATTTGAATAACAAATGTAGTGAGTAGTTGTAGAGCTTGTAGTGACTTTAGAATTAATGCGATTGACTTGCAAGAAATTTGTGCTACTGAACATTTAAATTTGGATTCCGGAAGAATTTCAAAGTAATCAGTAGATATAGTTGCTTATAATTAGAACAAATGTAATGAGTAGTTGTAGAGCTTGTAGTGACTTTAAAATTAATGCGATTAACTTGTAAGAAATTTGTGCTACTGAACATTTAAATTTGGATTCCATTGAAGAATTTCAAAGTAATCGGTAGATATAGTTGCTTGTAAAAGTTTTTTGCAAATGTATCGATAATTGATCTGTTCATTTGCTTTTAATTTTTAAACTTTAGAAAATGTGATTGTTATGTTTAATATGCATCATTCTATCATGTCAACAATTAAATCTAAATTCTAACATTCCCACATAGTATTTTATCATAAAAATGGAATAAGCTATTGATGTGTATGTTTGGAATAATTCCTATCTGTTTAGGAATTCAAAGTAACCACTGATTTATCTAATTTATCATTATTAATTTGACTGTTTTTAAACTTAAAATTTTATTCAAACTACCGATTATCATCAAATTTAGATCCAAATCTCCCAACTTTCCCTAATAATCATAAACTTGCTTTATCATGTATTTACATTTGTATGTTAGCATTTATATTGAGTTATGATTTTTCTTTTTTTTTTTCTGTCTCTATACATGCATGCATTTCATCCCTAAACCATTTGTTGAACACATTTCATTCACAACACTGTCATTTATAAATGTTATTCACAATACAAATCAATATGATGTAAGGGAAACATGGATTGTTTTGTGACAATTGTTGTTTTAAAAATGTTTTTTTTTTATCAAACAAGGGAAAATGTATCACAATAGAGTTACAGAGTAATTTAAAAAGGGTTAAGGGTACACAATACTGATTACATGCAATCTATATAATATTATTGAGTGTGAATTACTGGTAAAAGATTAGCCAGGTGTGTTTCATCCATATCCTTGATTGCTTGCTGCTGTTCACCTGCAATCAGCTAGAGGGCTCTGCTGACATGCGTACTCAGTATTAGTATTTGGTGGCAGCATGTACAGAAAGGAGGTGCTGTATTTGTGTGTGGTAAAAACTCAAGTGAAGATGTGAGCCACCTTCTTTGCAGTTCTCTAATGATAAGATAGGGGCATATGTGCAAAGTACAATGTACATAGCAATGGTAGGCTATGCTGCATAGCCGAAAATACATTGTAGAAGATCCTTTAAAGTTGAAAGGGCAGGAAAACGCAAACAATTTTTTTTTGTATGGTCCATACTTGTTGCATTTTTTGACATGATTTTTTTTGCAAGTCCTGAACTAGTTCCAGGTTTTTTGGATTTGAACCTAAGGCCATGTTGATTTGATTATATGGATGACATCCTCTGGGAACCCCAAAACTGATGCGCGCGTGCGATTAAAAAAAAGTTTTGCAAAAAAAAAAGTTGCTTTCACTATGAAATCTACGTGGTCATGAAGGTTGAACAAATGGCACAGAATATGTTATGGCGAATAATCTACTCTTTGAATTCATTTCTTTACATTTTTGTCTTTTTTCCTTTGATTTTGGCATTCTACGACATTGGTATCGTTTCTAAATGTTTTCCTTGCAACTTATGGTATATTTTTGCTCATTTAGCAACTGTTTTGCACGATTTACAGTATGGTTGAAAACTTTCTTTTTTTTCTTTTTGGAAACGGCCGAAAATTCATGCGCGCGCGGATGTCATCCATATAATCAAATCAACATGGCCTAAACATTTTTACAAGTCCAGCGAACTGGTACACAGCACTATGCTTATGTATTGTAACAAATAACACAGTGGATAACAAAAGTATGACAACCCCACAGCTGCCTCTACCTCCAGTGCAGGCAATTCCAGGTGGATGCAGGATTGACTAGTAGATGTTTGATACACCTGAATCAGTTAAAAGGACACTTTATCATAGTCACTGTAACAAAACGCGTGGAGAACAAAAAGAAATCTCTAAGCCAACGATCGGCAACCCCAAGGCCTCCTGTAGTCCCAGTGCAGGCGATTTTTTGTAGGTGAGGGATTGACGACCTTAAATGTTTGATGAGTCATGTAAGTACACGGTTCCTGTGGCTGCTCGGGCACGTGACTCGCCTGCAAATTTTTTTTTAAACACAGTGGTTCAATGCAAGATTCTGCACGAACAACTATCAAAGGGGCTCTAGTGCAACGGAAATGAAAAGAAACCTACAGTGGGGGTCGCTGGAAGACAGACGTAGAATGTCCAGACTGTCCATGATGTACAAAATGACTAATAAACTGGTGGACGTACCAACCACTAAGTATCTGATACCAGCCCAGAAAAGAACAAGAAACAGTCATGCCCTCAAATATCAGAGTTATCAACCAAGAATTGAGGTATTCAAAAACTCGTATTTCCCCAGAACTATCGTAGACTGGAACTCGTTGCCACCAAGCACAGTTGGGGCATCATCACTAGAAAGCTTTAAACAACGCCGCCGCGCCGCCGCGCCGCCGCCGCGCTCCACCGCATATCAGCTACTGCTGAGGCGGGCCATCATTGCTTTCCATCTTCCTCTGTCTTGTGTTGCTCGTTGCGCCCCCTCCCATTCGCAACCCATCACTGCAAGGTCTCTTTTCATTGTTTTTCTCCACGTCATACTCTGACCGCCCCTCTTCCTTTTTCCTTGTGGACACCACGTTAACACCACTTTTGGCAGTCTTTGCCTTGGCATTCTAGAAACGTGGCCTAGCCACCTCAGCCTTGCTCTTTGTACTAGTTTAGAGAGCTTTGGCTGACCTGTCCTACGCCTGATCCTACGCTTTAAACAACTCCTGCAATCAAATGAGCAAAGATTGAGTGTAACAAGCCGTTCGGTGTGATATAGCTAGCTGCCGCCGCGTCGAGTGCCTGCGAAGCTGGTGTGTTATGCCGAAGGGCGGTTTTACCGGCTATACTGATACAGATACAGAATGCAAGGCCTATACGACCACTTCTCAACATTGAACTAGAAATATGAGAGAAACATGGCTATGTCAAGAGATGGCGGTGAACGTTTGATTTGAAAGCCTGTAGATTATAGGTTGGTGGGAAACACTTGTCAGGGAGGGAATTCAAAAGCTTGGCCGTACGGGGAAAGAAACTGTCACTGTAAAAAGATTTCGAACAAGGAATTTGGACGGGGAAGTTGTGTGAGCTAGTGGAGAACCTAGTGGAACGCTTAAAAGTTCTGAGTGGTGGAACTAGTTGGGTAAGTTCTGCAGAGCAATGACGAATGACGGAACAGAAAATTAATGTCTACACACCACCTTTTTGTAGCCTGGAGTCCATCTTATTGTAGCTCAGATTTCTTTTTCACAGAATAGTTCTTCATACATTTGGCCCTAGTATCATGCATTAGGCCACACCAATTTGATTTGTTGGTTCTCAGATTTTTTTCCACAAATAATATGAAGCAACAGGGCAAAAAAATAAAAGTAAAAACACACCTAGGCATCCTGTGATAGCACCAAATTCTATGATCATAGGAGGCATGAAGTCAACATACCAGGCTGGTTTGTAATTCAAACAATAAATTTCAATGAACTTTTAATCAAACCACAGCATTGATAGATGGAAAAACTGTAACAACACTGAAGAGAAGGAACACAGTAAAATCAGAAAAAAATAAAGCGGGCGAATCCGTGAACCAACAAATTAAATTGGTTTGGCCATATTTTGGGAATCAAAATCATTATTTTGACTTGAAGTCAACTTTAATAACCACCATGATTTCAGCACCATGGACAGGAGTAGTTAATACTGGTAAAGGCTACTGTGAAAAAACTTATGATACATGTAGAGATTACCTTTCGAAGCACTCACGGAGTAGTGTTAAATCAAGACCTTTGAATTTGCCTGTAGTAATGTAATACTGATACAGAATCTAGTCTATTTTTTCTGTGCTCACCATTTTGAGGACAATCGTAATGACTGAAATATATGCTGCTTTGAATTTACCTGTAGTAATGTAATACTGATACAGAATCTAGCCTATTTTTTCTGTGTCACCATTTTGAGGACAATTGTAATGACTGAAATATATGCTGCTTTAAATTTACCTGTAGTAATGTAATACTGATACAGAATCTAGCCTATTTTTTCTGTGCTCCACAATCTGAGGACAATCGTAATGACTGAAATATATGCTGCTTTGAATTTGCCTGTAGTAATGTAATACTGATACAGAATCTAGCCTATTTTTTCTGTGCTCACCATTTTAAGGACAATCGCAATGACTGAAATATATGCTGCTTTGAATTTGCCTGTAGTAATGTAATACTGATACAGAATCTAGCCTATTTTTTCTATGCTCCACAGTCTTGAGGACAATCGTAATGACTGAAATATATGCTGCTAAGGGTTGCTTTGGGTGCCCCGCAAACGTTTTCTACCAAATTATCCTCATTCAATGTAAGCACTGCTGGGAGAGGGTCAAGGATAGGGCCATTTATTTTCTGAGGGGAGCCCGGTAGGGGATTTGACGTTTCCGAAAAAACACTTACTGGCGACTGATTGCCTGTAGTAGTTTTGATTTTCAAGATGAAATTGGTTGTTGTTAATGATTAGAAACCAATATAGGATGTTTGCGTAGTTGCAGAAATGTGTTTTTTTAAAGATATTCAAGACAAAATGTTGACAATATTTTGTTGCTGTGAATTTATTCTTGTCACAGTTTTACCTGTATTCTTATGTTTAATTATTATTTTATGTTATGTTACTTTCTTGTATTATGTTTCCATGGGCTCCTTTGGAAATCATGTTTAAATGGCTGAAGAAACTACTCATATGCTTCGAAGATTAATAAATAAATAGATAAACAGTTTACTACC